TCATTCAAGATTAGGGATTTGTGATCTTGGATCATGTCAAAGCTTAAAAGATTTCCCGCTTTGGCATGCTTCTTGATTTCTGAGTCCGATCAAGCAAAGCTAATTTTTGAGTGCTTCATGTTTTAGCCGTGTTTCCAATCCTTTACCATCGATTGTTATTTTGGTTTCAAAATAGTTTCTTTTATGAAAAACCAAACTCTATTAAATCTCAGGGATTTTATACTTTGGTGTGCTTCATATTGTAGTGGTATCAGTTCTGCTGGTTGGATTGTGAGGATCAGTTTCGGTAGGTCGCTTGTTAATAGCCTTATAGATTACCAGGCCATGTTAATTCTGCTGCCTTTGACCCTGTCTTTGGCATTTTTTAATGATGCTTTTGTTTTAGGATATTTATCATTTACTTTTAACATTTCAGTGTTTCTTGAATGTGACAGTCATTTCCCTTTTGCATCTGCAGCGAGACATATCGTTACTATGACTTGCCATTCTGCTCACCAGGTTATTCACTTATCCTTACTGTTCCATCGACTTCTGAGCTGCATGAGTCTGTTAGCAACACTATTTATACGTTTGTTAGTGTGTACAACTCTTTACTAAACTTTGTTGATTTAGAGCATGTTACCGAAAAGACGGAAGCCCTTGGGGAAGTTCTAAATGGTGATCGTTTGGTCGATGCACCATACGAATTAAATTTTCTGGAGGAGCAGCGGTCAAAGTCTCTTTGTAAAAAAAACTTGTCAAAAGAAGATGTTGCAAAGTTCAGACATGCTGTATCAAAGGACTATTACTTTGAAATGTATTATGATGATCTTCCTTTATGGGGTTTCCTGGGCAAGATTGAGGGGGTCAAGACTGATTCGGGCAAAGACAAGTACTTTCTCTTTAAACACATCCACTTTAATATCCTTTACAATGATGATCGGGTCATAGAGATCAATGTACAAACGGACCCCAATATTAATGTGGATATCTCGGAGGATAGGAAATTGGATGTCGAGTTTTTATATTCTGTGACATGGAAAAATACTGACATATCTTTTGGAGAAAGCATGGCAAAGTACTCAAAGACATCCTCTATGCCTCAATATTTAGAGATTCATTGGTTCTCAATTGTTAATTCATATGTGACTGTCCTTCTGACTGGGTTTCTTGCTACGATTCTCATGCGTGTGCTCAAAAATGATATTTTAAGGTAAGATATATAAACTCCATGGTTTTCCTTTTGAAACAAATTTCCTGATGTTTACTTTTTCATCATTCACTAAAATAGTTTCATCATGAAGATATTCTCTCATTGAGGAGTCTCTTGAAGATCAAGAGGATTCTGGATGGAAACATATCCTTGGAGACGTCTTCCGATTTCCAAAGAACATGTCTTTGTTTTCAGTTATTATTTGTTCTGGAACTCAGCTCCTTGTTCGTTAGTGCTCTCACTAAACTCTTCTAATGCTGATTTCTGTTAATATCATCTGATACTTTTGTCTCATGACTAGTACAATGTTCATCTTCCTTCTTGCACTTGTTGGTGTGTTCTACCCATACAATCGGGGAGCCCTTTACACAGCTCTTGTTGTCATCTATGCTCTGACTTCTGGTATCGCTGGTTACACTGCGAGCTCCTTCTATATGCAGTTCGAAGGGACTAATTGGGTAAGAAGTTGCTTCAGCATTAATTTCTAGTCATACCACTTGTAGTCTGCTTGGGTTAATTATCTGTGCCTCTATTTGACTGCAGGTGAGGAATTTGTTGTTGACTGGCTGCTTATTTTGTGGTCCCTTGTTCTTGACATTCTTCTTCCTGAACACTGTTGCTATTACATATATCGCAACTGCAGCTCTGCCATTTGGAACCATCCTTGTGATTCTACTTATATGGGCATTGGTTACTTCCCCTTTGCTCATATTGGGTGGGGTTACTGGTAAAAACAGCAAAACTGAATTCCAAGCTCCATGCCGTACCAACAAGTACCCAAGAGAAATTCCTGAATTGGCATGGTATCGAGGCACCATACCTCAGATGGCAATGGCAGGATTCCTTCCTTTTAGTGCCATCTATGTAGAACTCTACTATATATTTGCTAGAGTGTGGGGTCACAACATATATACAATATATAGTATGCTTTTTATTGTTTTCATCATTCTTATAATTGTCACAGCGTTCATCACTGTTGCATTGACATATTTCCAACTTGCAGCAGAGGATCATGGGTGGTGGTGGAGGTAAGTATCTGGCCTTCTCCTTTGTACTAGATAATTCTACCATTCAGTTGGTCTAGCATAGACACTGCAGTCTGTTTTTGCATCTTGAAACTGTTGTGCTTGAACATATTTGTAAATGCGGTACCTCTTTTGTCATTTAGTTGTCTTGAGTCGAGAGTTCTTTGAATCATGTCATACATTAAGGTTTTATTTCAGTTCCTCTTTCAAGAACTTCTAATGTTATTTCATTCATTTTAATTGACACGGTTTACAAGAGCTT